CACTATTAAAAAGTAATTACCAGTAGATGAATATATATATATATATATATATATATTAGGTAATGGCAGGATATTGTGAAACATTGTTGTGCATGATCCTGATATCCTCTGTGGTAATGTGGTCTATGTAAGTATTTTCATTTGTTTTTATAACAAGAATTATCATTATATATTTCAAGTATTGTCTTCTTAGGATTTTGCATTGAATTACCAAATACCAAGCACAGCTGTAGTTGTTAAATTTAGACATGAAGAAAGTGATAAAATTAAAATTGCTGAGAAATTTATGAATGAAAAAGATGAAGAAAACCAGTTTCTGTTGGACAATCCTGACAAGAGGAAGAAAGATCATACTTCTGTTTGTAAAGAAGAGAAAACACCTAGTTACTCTCAAAATGAAGCTAGAGTAAAGAAGGCCAAGAATTCTGGGAAAAAGGAAAAGTTAGAAATTCTTTATTTTTATTTCTTACTGGTTCAAAATAATAAATAATGTAAGTGCTTGGAAAAAAGGGCACTAAAATGCATACTTTTAAGGCATTCATGAAATCTAAAATAGATAATGTGATCAAGAGTTTTATTAGCACATTAAGGAGCACACTCTTGAGAACTGAGTAGTGCTTTTCAAATATAACAGTAAGAGTCTTGGCAGTTTCAGTAAGATCTTTTTATGTAACTTGGAACCCTATTATAGCATCATTGTTTTTTTATCTTAGAACCCTAATATACCATTCTTGTTGTGATGTAACATGAAACCCTAATAAAGTGTTGTTTTTGTAATTTGTTATACAAATAGTGTTGTTTTGTATCATAGAACGATAATATAGTGTTGTTGTTTTTGCAAATTTGTACCCTAATATAGTGTTTTTGTTTTTCTAACTTGGAACCCTAATATAGTGTTGCTGTATTTCTATCTTGAAATTGTAATATATTGTTGTTTTTGTAACTAGGAACCCTAAATAAGATAGTTGTTTTTGTTAATTAGAACCGTATTATAGGGTTGTTGTTTTTGTAAGTTGAAATCCCAATATAGAGAGAGTAAATAATTTTATAACATTACAAAAACTACTTACCAGGTTTCTAATTAGTTATTTTTAAACATATAAAATAATTTCATTGTATTTAGCTTTCTATAACAAATTTATATTTATGTATGTATTGGTTACCTTTATCACTTATATTGTTAACATAATGATGTATAATATGATTTGTTTTACTTCTGATACTCAATAAACAAGTTTCTATTGTTTCATACAAAGAATTATTTGTTGATGTATAAAAACATTTTTGTTAAATATCTTTTATAGAACCACAAGCAAAAAAAATTCCTATCAGAAACTTAAGAACAGAAGTGAAGATCATCGAAAGATTTCTACCACAAATGAATTATCATCATCATCAGGTAAAAAAGGATCTCTGAGTGTTACCTCCAAGATCTCAAGTTCTAAAACAAGGAGTATATCCAGTAAAAGCCCTTTCCCAGTAAAAGAACAATGGAGCAGCAGTGATGAGAGTAGCTCCAGTGAAGATGATGAAGATGCTGCTGAAGAAACTTGGAAGCAGTCAAATATTACAGATCTTCCTTCTGAATATTGGCAGATTCAGAAGCTGGTGAAATATTTGAAGGTTAGGAAATACTATTAAGCAAAATATTTGGTAATTTTGTTTAATGAATAGATGTTGAAAAAAAAGTGTCATGTATATTCATTAAGGACATTGTTAGTGTGAAAAATGGTTTCTGTGCTACTACAGAAGTTGTCCAGATCTCACAATGGGATGATAAGTAGTGTTAAGGTGAGTTGACACAGAATAATTAGGTTATGTTATAAAAAGATACATTTACTTTATGTACCTCTAAAACTAAATATTTTTTTCCCTAATCATTAAACTGTTTTACCCATATTCATCAGCTTATCTGTTCAATAGGGCTCTAATTATGTCAGTTTGTTTTCTTAAGGAAAATTCTGACATTGAATTGAATATAGTACGTACATAAAACATATTTGTAATTAACAAAAATGACAGCTGTAAGGTTGCAATTATATTCATCATCAAAACACAGTGAAGGGAATATTTCTGATACAATATCTTACCTATTCTCACAACTAACTTTTCTCAACTTATATTGCCCTCTGTAGGTGTATATTTTCACTTGATACTCCCTCTTACTCTTATGTGTATTCATATGAGACATCTGCAGGCTATCATTCAAATGATCCTGCAGTAACACTCTACCAATAGGAGTGCAAAACAACTCCTATTGTAACTAGCGCCCTCTCTCTTCTGCCAAGCTTGTAATCATTTCTCAGTTGGCAGTCATACTGTTTTTACTTATGCTTTCCGACTGATTGTTTCATTTAAGAGTTTCATCATTTTTCTTGCTCAAGTTTCAAATATTATTCTGGCCTCGTTTTGTTATTTTTCCCTGGTTTTTCAAACAATATTTTTTTGAGTTTTCACTGTTTTGGATTCGCTTTTGGAGTTTCATTTCTCCTTTATTCCAGTCAAATCCAATCATCATACACTTGAAATTCCATGTGGCAACTATGATTGCTGCTGAGACTACTACAGCTGATCGTCCAGCCACTTCAGTGGCATCAGGGCAAGATTTTTCTACTCACAAAGTAATGGCTTTGATTTGAAGGGAGTTGGCTGCATTTATTTCATCTTCTGAGTCACCTGATGATTGTCTACTCATACCATGTGCAGGTATGCCTTAACATAAAGATGAGGATTTGGACAGCTTGTTTTCTCCTTCTGCCTATGCCTCAAAGTTGCATTTTCTTTTTGGGGAGGTGCCCAGGCTACCTTTCCTGTTTGTTGACTTAATCAGTCAGGTATGTTATATTTTATCCTTGTCTCCAATTTCCTATGATTCCTTCCCTGCCCTTCTCAGTAATAAGCCAGTGGTACAGTATCTAGAGTTTCCTCTCTAACCAAATCTTAGGGTTCATGCGAGTTGTTCTAGGGACCAGTTATATTTGGGATTCAGTATGCTGTAAACCACACATACTGTGGAAGACTATGCTTTGTCATATTATCATTCTGAGTTTCCCTACTAGACTCGCAGCATTTAGAGTCACTTGTCCCTTTTTTTGGGTTTAGACCCTAATGCTTCGGTTTCCTTTTCCCAGCTCCAGTTTTCCCGAATTTGTCTCACCCTCTCCACCTTCTTCATTCCCTGTTTTTCCTACACTTTGTTTCATCCATCAGTGTTGTGGTTTTCAGGTCTGGGCTTTCCATGTGGGCTCACCTCGTCTCCCTATGTTTTTGTCAGGTGTGCAGGATAGTTGAATAATCTTAAAATACCTTTGTTGAGTCATATGCATATCAGATCTTTATCTTTATACAATTTTTTTTCTGTTTTTAATGTTTTTATTTACCTTTCCAATTCTTTATCTTTCATAAGGCAAGAAAAACTAGCCAAGTGCTATGGACCCCACTCTCAAAAATGAACTAAGCTTTATTTCGCCTCGTTTGTAAATGGGTATGTACATCTACAATTACTGTTAATTTAGAGACATACCAATGGAAAAACTGCTTTTTTCTATTAGTTATAAGCAGGCTATTCAACTTAAAACTGTCGCTTAGCGACACAGCTTCTACTTTGTGAATGGGCGTGGTTATCTGAAGTAAACAAAAACTTTTACAACCTTTTCCTCTGGGGGGACAAATTATTGGAATAAACTCAAATTACTGGTAAACAACCTCTTATACTGTACTTTAAACATCTCTGAGAGACTGCCTACATTACATATACAGTTTCTTCTATACCAGCTCTTAAAATTGAGTATCCTCACCTCAAGTGCATAATGAAATATCAATACTCAAATTTTAAATAATATTTAAGAGGTTTCTTTTGAAATAAAGGAATAAAAACTTAGATAATATAAAACATTGAATTGTAACAACTTATTAATTTCATTAAAAGGAAAGTGGTTTAATTAAATTTGGAATATAACTCAGTAACATGTGCAGAAAGAGTTTTAAAGATGGCATCGTGGTTATAGGGTTAAATTTGCACTGTAAGACCTATGAGATGGGGTGTTTTACAAGACTGCTTGTAAGTATCTTGCTTCATAAAGATGTTTGTCCCCGACCATACATTCATGTACTAACATGATTAAAGTAGACGGGGATTGCTATCCATTCCTCATGATCCATGTATTGTTGGTCACTGAATTGGTCTGCTTTTCAAAATAAGGGGTTGTGGTCACCCATTGTACTGTGTCAGGTGCAGCATTCCTCTGGAAACTCCAATGTGCTATTTCCCCCCTTCTTCTAATGGAATATGGGAGTCTTTACCAGTTCCTAGCTGCTGGAGTAGTGGACCATGGAGCTTCCTCCTGAGTGTGCTCACTCCCATTCAGGTGAGAGTTGGGTAGTGGTGTTCTGCTGATATAGATGGTGTTGATGCTCATTCTACCATGGACCTGTTGTACAATTCCAGATGCTGCGAAGTAATGGATGATACATTCCGCCAACATGCAGTTTGCCTTTCTAGCTGAGGCACCCTCCTTCGTACCATCCCCCCAGATGTTGGTTCCCAATGGATATGATGAGGGTTGGAGCTGGACTAGCCACATAAGTCCTCATATGTATGGTGGAAGGTACCCTCCTACTACTACGGACTGGATAATATTCCCAATGCCATCTGGATCTGGACTGGAGATGAGCCCCACTTTGCTGTCCATCTTCCTTCCATCCCTCAGATGTTGGTTCCTGGAAAATATGGTGATGATCATGTTCGATGTGGACACAAGATGATGTGGATCCTTGGTACAGAGGCTCATCTTCTCTACCAGTTCCTGTATCCAAGGTGAAAGCTAGAGAATCCTCTTCCTACTGTAGTCCAGATATCCCTATCATGATTTGAGTGTTGGTTGATCTAGATCTCCCATTTACAGTCCATTGCACCCTAGCCACTCCTTTGGGCACATTCTAAAGGATGATCATTTTCTCACTGGATCCTCTACCAACTCAATGTTGGATTTTAGCTATTTGTGAGGAAAGGTAAGATATTGAATTGGAAGTTAACATTTTCCTACGCTAAAAATGTATTTCTGATATATTCTTACCTTCCCTCACATTTCCCATGTGACCTCCCCACTTCCAGTGTAGATTTTGTATCTACTGCCCAATCACAAGGTGATTATAGGCTGCACAGAAGTGAGGGTTGTAGTTATGATAAAAGTTGTGTCACACTTCTACTTGTGGAGGGTTGCTGCATGATAGTATGCAGATGTCTCACATAAATACATGTAAGAGTAGGTGGGAGTATCAAGGGTAGTGGCAAGCAAACATTTGCATCTGGCTTTTATGCAGCCTTCACATGACATCAGGGATTGACACCTTGATTGCCATCCTTATTAACACATTCCATTTGACATCCTTCTTTGGAAATTTATCAAAGGAAATGGATTACTTATCATTAATGGTCTCTTAGATATGGAATTAACCCTTTGTGTCCTATTGCACCATGTCTCAAGTTTTGACATGGTTATTTGACAAAGGTTTGGTGCCTTCATCTGTAGCCTTGTATAAGGTTACCTTATCAGCTACTTTTTTGTTTTTCTAAAAGAATCAAAGTTTGAGTCCTTGGTTTTTTGTAATTCTGGGGTCAAGAGGTGTTACCTTCCCTCCCAGGTTGAGGAGTTAGCATTTTGGTTCATAATCCCAGGCCAGATTATCTCTGTTTCTTCAGATTGAGTGAGGTATGAATTGACTCCATAATTCTGAATTTAGTTTGTTGGATTCTGAACTTCTTTAGGTTGAAGGGAAGACTTGTCCTGTTGGATGTTGCTTGCCTTCCCTTCATATTTCTGATGGTTCGTATGCGATATTCTGTAACTTTCAGATTGAGTGCCTGGGCCCATAATTTCAAGTTTGGTTTGTCACATTTTGTGCTTCTTCAGGTTGGAGTGAGGGTTTGTACATTTAGGTGTTGCTTGCCTTCTTTTCATAATTCTGGTGGTTCAACATGCAACATCCTGTAACATTCAGGTTGGGTTCCCTTCATATCATATTCCTATTATACAGTTATATCGTATCGTGGTCCCCATGCCTTAGCCACTACACCTTGGATCTAGTTTTGTGTCCACAGCCCTATCATTCCAATGACGAGATGAGTCTCATGATAATGATCAATGTTGACTCTGTAGCCAGTTGGCCTTTACGGCCCATGTTTAGATTTCGTTTATCTGGGCGAAGAGCATACCTGTTCTCGAAGTAGTGCGGACCCCAGTAGCGTGCTTTATTATATCTAAATTTTGCACACGTATTTTTCAAAGCATATGCTTTTTGTGTTTATCTTGCCCTCATTGGCCCCTCCATCTTGTCAGTGTGGGATTCTAGATAAAGTGTGAGAAGAGGTGTGTTTCGGAGTTAACATTTTCTATATTGGAAATGTATTTCCAATAATACTTACCTCCTCCCCACAATATCCGGTGCTTGGGTCTGATAATCTTGCCAGTTTCGAAAAAGTGGATAGGAAATAATAATGTGGAGCTTATACATGAATTGGGTATAGGGGGGTACATTAACAAAGATGAAGAGAGTCACAAGATTAAAATCACTAGGGGCAATATAGTGGGGTATAAAGACTGGAGCAACCAAGGTAGAATTCATACCAATGCTTAGATGGGCTAAGAAGAGAACCTTTTGTCAGAATAAAGTATGAAAAGAGGTAAGTATTATCTGAAATACACTTTCAGTATAGTAAAATGTAAACCTTTATTGATTCACTGTTTTTTTGTTTTTTTTTGTGTACTGGAGTTTTATATGCAGTTTGGTGGATAACTAGAAAGACAGATGTCCCCATTCAATGCTCTTTGGTTGCTATTACTGTAAAGTTTATCATTCCTGTTTTACACTCTTTATGATAAATAAAATACACTAATGAATATATACCCAAATTGAATTAATGCTAACCACATATATGGAGATGATATATAGTTGTTTTGAAAAAAAAATTTAATAGTATGAAAAACCTAATGCTTCATTGTATGACAGAAAAGATAATGGTTTGGTAAGAATCTTGGAATTATCTTTATATTTGTAAAACTGAATTTGTATCGAATAAAATCAGTGTTTATTATGTAGTAGTAGCTGGTTATTATCTATATTGTTTTACATATTTGTTATAAAACTTTTTTTTCTGAGGGCTTTGAAGAGACATTCAATTGTTTTTAAAGGTTTTACATATTAAGATTTTTTCCATTATTTTCTGTAAGTTTGTTTTAAAAGTTGCTCAATTTAGTATGTGAAATGTTTAAATTTTATTTTTATAACATAAAAGTAACAGTAACTGATCAGTTAGAATAATTTTATTAGTTATTGCTTTGTAGTTACTGTTTAATTCTAAAGGCAGGAAACCCAACAGCTACTGTATTGGCTCTCTGCATTTTACGAGACTATGACCTGACCCAAGAAACTTCTCAGCTGGCAATAAGAGAGGTGGGAGGATTGGATGTACTCTTAAACTTGTTGGAGACCAATGAAGTAAAGTGTCAAGTAGGTTTGATTTGGATTTAATAGTTTATTGTGGGGACCTATAATGAAACCTTTTTAAGTTTCCGAAAGCTCATTTCAATTTGTTTCACATATGTATGAAGGAAAAAAAATCAGTACAAAAAATGTGGTTAACTTTTAGAAGTATCACTTACACTGTTTGACCACTTTTTTTACCCCCCCCCCTCCACTTCCTATAACAAATGAAGAGAATATTATATGTGATTTCTGATGACAAACAGTCTGATAATGTAATATTTTAATTGATTATTTAAGTGCCTGTAAATTTGGAGATGCAGTCATATCATGGTTAAATCGAAAGGCAGTGAGTAAGAGCAAGAATTTTGCTCTTTTGACTTTTAAAATGGTGTGATAGTTGGTGTTTGACTTGTGCCAATATGAAAGACTGTTTCTTTGGTCTACTGTTAAGAAATGTAAGTCATCAAATTCTGTCAGCATTAGCAATAAGAGTGTGTTTTGCCACTAGGATAAACAATGGTCATTAGTTGCTAATAACATACCAAAATCAAAAATGGTTAGTCATGCTTGTAAAATTCAACAGATGTCAAACTTGTTTCTCATTTGAACTATTCCTTTAATAGTGGTCATGATTCCACTAGCTCCAATAACACAAAAGAAAGACATAATTAACATTTGTTAGGAGAAAATTATTCTGAAAGTAACTTATAATAAATATAAACAGAAAACATGGTACCAATGGTTGCTAGGGTACAAACTTTAGATACTGTGACTGATAAGTCACATTTCAAGTCTTTCTATTCCGATGGTAGATTGAAAATATGAAAAAACAGTATGAAGCACTTGACACTACATATGTGGTTCTAGGAATTTTATTAGTTGGTTTAACTTCAACTTATCTGAATGTCTCATTGCCTTAAAAATGTTGTTTAGAAATAATTTTGAAGCCATTTCTAACTTTTGAGTAAGCAAGGAATGTATAACACATGGTGTACAACTTAAATTATATTTCCATCGTATAGTCAGCATTCTTTGCTCACAAAGTGTAAAGAAATATGACTGTACCATTACCAATTAAGTCAACAAATTGTATTACACACAAAAATAATTACTGACTAGATTTGGCTAATTCAGAGATATTGTTAAAGTGATGTAGAGAACAAAGTTAAATTTTAGTACAAAAGGAGTTAAAAACTGGAGTTTAACACTCCTAGTGCAAAAAAATATGTAAATTTATGAAGTAAATTCAAACAACTGTTCACTTTTCATGCTGTCATTTGTGTTCCTATTATCATTTTAAAAGAGGCCAGAAAATATAGAAAATAGTGTTTCTGATAACTGGATTTTAAAAATTTAAGGCATGGTATTAGGCCTTTGGCCTGAGCTTTGTCTCAAAATGACAGCACCATATGCCTACCTCAGGAGTATCACCAACCTACTGTTAAACATAAATGAAACCCGTAGTTCTAAAGTGTAAGTTATTGGAGGTGGTGTAATAATGTAGGAACATTGTTCATGATCATTTCTACTTGATAATTTTCCATTTATACCATGATGAACAAAAGTATTTTAAGAATATTTTGAAATAATATTCCATAATTATCTGTAATTAATTGAAATAGAATGACAGTAACTTTAATCGATTTTTCTTTACAAGGTTAATCATCAAATCTTAGTGTGATTGAACATTTTTAGAATTAAATTGAATGCATGTAATCTCCTTTTGATATTTGTGAACCATTTGCAGCCCACACTCCTCAATGAATGTATTACAATCAAACATACTGAAATACAAATTAAACACCTTGCAATATGTAGTGTATGTAGAAAAAAATTCTTAAGTCTTTGGAAAGTCTGATTTCATTTAAAACATATAAATCAAGCTTCCATAATTAAAGCTTCTGCAAACTGCACACTAATTGTATGTGAGATGAGAATTCAGAAGGAGTATAAACAGTATGTAGGGCTCCATGGTTTGTATTTCCTGTGCAAAGTTCTTGATTGATAAGCCTTTTGCATTCAAAGTCAGAGTCTATGATGTAAAGAACAAACTGTGATTTGGAGAGAGAGAGAAACTCATAATTCAAATTTACTACAAGCTATAAAGTCCAAATAAAGATTTCATAATTCAGAGTTGCAGTTCAGCATGAGATAAAGAATTAAACTGAATAAAGATAGAGACATAAATCAGGTTAAGTTTATTACACAATATTTATGGATATTGTTTGCTTCAAAATATTAGTGCCATTGCAGGTCTGGAAGTAATTAGAGTACTTGGATTGGGTCTTAATGATCAAAGCATCTTTAAATACCCTCTGACTGAATGAAATCTGAGATTTCAAAGAAATGTAAGCAGTGTTGTAAATTTTACAGCCGTAGTTCTTGTACAAAGTGCCCTAGAACAGTCCTTGGTTGATGAACTTGTCTTAATCTAAATTAAAGTCATCATAAATTTTTGCTTTTATGGTTGTTGTGGCAGTTGGACATCAGTCATTGTCATGAGCAATAGCCTATGTAATCATGTAAATCTAATTATTAATTAGTTATTCTTTTATATTAATTATTAATTAGGTTTTTATACTACACTGGCTGCTAATCTGCCAAACCTGCTAATCTTCTCTGAAGACAGCAGCAGATTAGCAGTTGAAACATAGGATAAAAATTAGTTATTAATTAGTAATTAATAAAACAAATTAGCAACTAATTAATAGTTAGACTTGATGATCATATAGCCCTCTAACCATGACAAGAGACATTTGTTTTGTATACTTATTCTTTTGACTACATTGTAAAGGTATCAAAATTTAGAATATTACAAATGAAAAATCTTTAAACTGTAAACAACAAGAAAACTCTGATAATTTTAAGTTAATAGCTGACAGTTTGAAAAATCTAGATATAAATGTCACATTTATGATGAGGTTTTGTCAGTGGTGTATGTGTTTATTTTCCATCTATTACTAAACTTTTCATTTAGGGAACATGCTCCAAATTTACTTTTAAACTTAACACTAAGAAGCAATTACTTTGAATATTTAAAGGTTTGTTTTCTCAAGTTTGTTTTTCAAGAATCTTAACATATTTCTTTAAAATCCAATTAAAGATTGGAGCATTGAAAATTTTACGAGAAATTGCACAAAGCCCAGCAGTTAGAAAATCTATAGTGGAATTAGATGGACTAAAATCCATGGTATCAGTTTTATCAGATCCAAACATACAACTTAGATCTCTTGTGGCTGAGACAATAGCACATGTTGCCAGATATCGTCGAGCTCAAAACATTGTTCGAAGACGAGGAGCAATTCCTTATCTGGTAAAAGTAGACTATTGTTAGTTATGAATTTTATGGATTCTATTTTTCTTATAACATAACAAACTAGCAGAGTCATTATGCAATTCTTTCAGGCTCTGAAACACAGAAAATAGATAAATTTAAATGCTAAAAAGATTTTAATAAAAACATAAGATTTACGAGTATAGTTTTTAAGTACCACTGAAGATTTCATAATGCTAGCAATGTTATTAATATAGTGAGATATAAATACATTGGATATTTAGAAAGAACAAAAATTGTCTTACAGGATTACTGAAACATCTGAGCAGAGTTTTCTGCTTCCATTTTAGTACTTAACAGTTTACCTTTAGGAATACTAAAGATATACAATATAGTCATTAAAATCTTGAAAAATATTATCTTATCTATACAGTTGTGGCTCAATTTTAATAAATTATTGAATTTATTATTTTCTGAAAATATGTACAAAAATTTAAAACATAAAATAATAAGCCAGTGAATTGATTTCCAGATTGATCTGTTAGATGTTCCTCAATTAGTGCTTAAAAGCCCTGAGTCAGAACTCTCAGATTATCAGAAACTATGTATCAAAGGAGCTCAGACTGGTGCTCTTGCTTTGTGGAGTCTTAGTCACAGTAAAAGGAATAAAAAAGCTATTAGAACAGCTGGAGCTGTGCCTCTCCTTGGTCGACTCTTGAAATGCCAACATCAGGCTGTGCTGATTCCAGTTGTTGGAACACTGCAAGAATGTGCTTCTCGAGTGAGTGCAGAAATCATGGTTAACAGAGATTTATCTGATTACAATATACCATTTAAGTATTGTAGAAAGATTTGAGTAAAAACATTCTACCTCTCTCATTTGCATTACTGTCACAGTTTTCATTTCACTTGTCCTATGTAACAGAGTCCTTTAAGCTTTCTTAGCTCTTGTTAAAACTATAATATTAAAGTTTCTGATACGATATGTAACCCCCTCTCACATTTATCTTTCCTGATTCAGTGCTACCCTGTATATGCAAACCTTTTGCTCACCACTAGCCTTGAGACTCCCACCTAAACTCATGTGTTTCCACATGATATTTCTCCATTGCTGCATGCAACAACCTTTCATCAATAGGAGTACAACACACTTTCCTACTGCAGCTGACTCCCACTACACTGATTGTTCATTCATCACTTCTCAATTTTGCACTCATGTATAAAGATGTTTTTTATTTTCACTTGTGAGTGTTATTGAAATAGGTGTATTGGCTTATAGAAGTATCTACATATCAAAACCATTGTTATGGAAATTTTAATTTTGAACTTCAATTTTGCAACTTCATTTTCGAATTCTGCCCCTGCAGATTTTGTTAGCCTTTTGCTTTCCACATTATCAATTTTCAAGTTACTGTCACTTCCACTTTGTCTGTTATGGGACAGCAAAAAGTTATCCATGCTGGACAAACAACTACAATGGTGTCGGGTTCCTCTCTGTCTGTTGAGGAGATGATGTCTATTGTGTGATGGAAGATGTAGTCTTTCATGAAGCCTGGACCTTCTTCTGAGCCTGATACAGATATTCCCTCTTTCTGTGAATCCAGTTAGTGATGGAGAGGATTTTGAAAGTCTTTTCCAACCACCTACCTTTGCCAATACTTTTACTAGTACTGTCATGGATCTTCCTCTTCTTTCTTGGATATAGTTTTTCAGGTTTTTTACATACTTTCTTTATCTCCCTTGTCATATGATATTTCACCTTCCCTTCTTCTGTCTATTATTTTTTTCCTCCTCCTTCAAATATTCAGGTCTATGCTGAACAGTTTTTATCCCAATTTTGTTCTGGTGCTGGCATGCCTCATCTCTCTCACCTGATTGATACATATGCTTTAGCTTATCATTGGGCTGATTTTCTTTTATTTGACTCCTAAACTCTGAAGTTTCTTCCAATTTTCTCAGGCCCAATTTTTCCTGCCTATATTTTACCCTCGCTACCCTTTTGCACAATCTTTCTTCCATTTACCTTCTTTCTGAGGCACACTGTTCCCCTGAGGAGTTTTTGATGGATACTCATTTCCTTATCATCCCTATTTTGGAACATTCATCTTCCTCGCCCTTGTCACTTTTTACTTGCTTGCTCTGTTACTGGGTGAGATTTCTTGGGAGAGGTGCCTTTCTTGCTCAGGTGTGCTTGCCTTCCTCTTACTTCAGGGACCTTTTGCCTGGTTCCTTTCCTCTGCCAGGGAGTTTTTGGTGGAGTGCCTGATTCTCTGAAGTCATGAGTTGAGGCAGCATACCGACATTCTTCCTTATCATCTCTTATTTCCCATCTCTCTCAAGTTCCTTCTTTACCCATTTCTGTGTTCTACATTCCCACTTCCTCTTCTCTCCCTGTCCCTCCATTTTTCTACTGATAGGGGTCTGTTTAGCTTGGTTTACAGATCTTTGGCTTTCATTTGCAGCCAACCATTAGGTGTTGCAAGTTCTCTCAGAGAGCCTTACCCTTCATTTTTTCCTCTCCTCTTCACTTGTATTTCACACCCACTCAATACCTGGTTCATTTATGTGTGTTATTCAATTCACATTTCAGCAGGGGTCAGCCTTCTCTGCTTCATTTGAAAGACATGAAGTGATTCCACTGTTATATCCTACGTTCTATTTCTGTGCAAGAGGTTCTCTCTCTTTTTGGGGACTTGGGCTTCCATAGAATCCCTTATCCGCTTGGGTTGTGCTCACATGCATCATTTGCAGTTGACTCTGCACTGTCAATGGAACCTCTCCCAGAATCTCTTGTCCTTCCACATTTATCTTCTTCTCTGCACCTATTGACTCAACAGAACCAATACTACAGAAGGTGATCCTCTTTCCTCCTCTTGTCTGGAACTCCATCTCTTTAAAACTGCTTCCCTGATGGAGAGGGGCACTTGTCTCAACTCTTTGAAGATTTGGGGTTTTTAGTACCAGAAGAATTGACCCTTCATATCAGTCTCTTGGAATGCATGGCAGTTCATCAAGCCTTGGATCATTTTCTTGCATTTGTACATGGCTGTTTTGTTATGATCCATATGGACAACTCAACTGTGGTTTCCTATGTCAAATGCCATGGTGCACCCAGTCTCACTCTGTTTCCACCCCCTCAATCTCCATTTTCTACTGGTGGTTTGTCATATTCTGGGTGCCCTGAATTTTCTCACAGATTGTTTTTCGATGCCCAACAAGATTTTTCCTACAGAATGGTCCTTCAATCCTCAGGTTTACCAGTAGCTTTGCTCTCATCTGTGCACCCCTCTTATCAATGCCTTTGCCACTTAAATCAGTGCCAAGCTTTCTCTTTTCTGGTCTCCTGTTCCACATCCATTGTCTCTGGCAATAGGTGCATTATGTAAGGGCTGGTCAAACCTATTCATTTCCTCTCTTGTGTTTTCTCCCTTATTTGGGACACTTCATGTCAGGTCCTTCTTGTAACACCCTAATGGCTGACTCAACCAAGGTTTCCTCTGTTGAGCCCTCTACAGTCCTCCCCTCCTCTTTCTCTCTCCTGCTCTCTTCTTCTTGAGCCTCATTCTTCTCTCTTCCATCCAGCCATAACATCACTCTGACTTCACTTGTGGGATTTGTCTGTTCCTTGCAAGATATTCTGGACTCTCCCCATGTGTAGCCTTCCTTCTTTTCCATTCTGTTTGCTCATCCTCTCTCCTTGTATATCAACAGCAATCTCTGAATTTTTCATATGGCCTTTTAACCAAGGATTATTGGTATCAACCATTTGCTGGTTACCAGGTGGCTCTCTCTACTACTTTCCAGTTTTCTCATTACTGCTTATTATTTTCCTCCCTGGTCCTCACTATGCTCTTCTGTTCCTTTCACCTTCTTCATCTACCACATCCTTCTTGCCTTCTCAACAAGAAAACTGGAACCTGAATGTTGTTGTCCATGCCCTTACCCTCCCTTCCTTTGAACCTTTAATTTCTCGTACTTCATATCATCTCTTAAAACCTACTTCCTCCTCCTTTTCACCTATGATCATTGACTTTTGATTTGTGCTATAGATATCAGTTCACATTCTTTTACATCACTCCTATGCCCTTCTCTGTCTTGATTGTACTTTTCTTCCTAAAATGTCTGCAGCATGTTCACTCCTATATCTTTCCCATCTATTTCTCATCTTTACTCTTGCTCAGATCCTGATTGCCTCCTGTGCCCTGTCCATGCAGTCCATTGTTATTTGGAACACACTGCTCCCTTTCATGTTTCGAGATCATGTCATTTCATGCCTTGGAATCCTTTTTCCACTTGTGATCATTCTTCCATTACTCCTACTGGATACCATCATCAACTCATCAGTTTAGCATATTCTTCTTTGAATGTGGATGCACTTCAGCACTTTTAGGTGTCCTCACATTAAACTTGGCACCTTAAGCACTCTTTAGCTGCTCACTTCCATCATCCATCGGAGGAGGCTATTCAGGCTGGCATGTGAACAACCCCTCATACCTTTGTTACACACTGTCTCCATCAATTGACCATTTCTTTATTGGGCTATAGACTACCTCTGGTCGCTATTCTCCACACCTCTAACCATCCGTGACTAGGTGAGTGCTCTTTCTTTTTTATGTTCCATTTAAAGGCCCTTTCATGCCTTACAGGATTCCACTCAGTGGAAAGTGGTGCCTGCAAGGGTATATTTATCCAAAATCCATACAGTGTAAGGAAATCAAGGCCTGAAATAGCATTCACTCAAGAGATGGGGTGTTCCACAAGACTGCTCAAGGTATCCACATGGTGTTTATTCTCTTCAACAAGGCCTGGTCTAAACCACTTCCACTCATGAACCATCATGAGTAAAGCAAGCAAGGGATCTCTGCTCATCCTCCATGCCTAGTTTAAAACCTAGTGCTGGTCTGCTTTTAAAAATAGGGTTTTTGTGGTCACCTGTTGCACTGTCTCATGGATATGGGCTCCTCTAGGCTCCCAAACTCACTTTCATCCCCTTTTACTTCTAGTGGAGCACAGGAATCCTTGCCACTTATCAGTTCTTAGTCACTGGGGTGGTGGCCCATTGAGGCTGCCTCTTGAATGTGACCAATTCCACTGAGTAGAAAGTAGGGCAGTGGTGTTCTGTCTATTTAGTAGTATATCTCCTCCCTCTGGCCAGCTTTTCCCCATCCTACCACTACCCGTTTGTTGGTATTCCGGGTGGTCTGAATTTGGGTTGGCACAGGAACAGCCATCATAAGTCCTTACTCAGTTGCAGTTTGGATGTTACATTCATGTTTTTCTTCAGTGGGCTTGAAATGAAGATGGTAGGGATCTTCCTCCTACTGCTGCCAAGAAGACAAATTCCCAGTGCTGCCTAGTTTTAGACTGGGGTTGACCCATGAGTGTGCCCTTATACTACTCCATGGTATAGGGTTTGCACTCCAATGGTTCCCTTTGGGTGTTTCCCAAGGGGCTCATCTAGGTTAAAAATTTTGCACCAATCCTTCCACTACTTCAATGTGGGATTCTAGCTATATGTGAGTGAAGGTTATGTATTGTATCAGAAGTTAACATTTTCCAACACTGAAAATGTATTTCCAATAGCTACTGACCTCTTCTTACACTTCCCACTTTTCCTCCCCACTTTTGGTGCATCTTGTTTTCTTGCCTAATCTTGAAGTGATGATTAAGCAATCAGTATAGAGGGAGACAACTGTGCTAGGAAGGTGTGTTGCACTCCTATTGGTGGAGGATTATTGCATGCTCATTTGCATGCAACAATGCAGACATATCATGTGGAAACAAGGCCAGTGGTGACCAGAAAGACTTTGCATATAAAGGGCAGTACTGAATCAAAAGCTATATGTGAGTAGCTATCAGAAATAAATTTTCAGTGTTGGAAAATGTTAAATTTTGACTGAAAGGAGGAGTGTTAAACTTTTTAAGTACAGCACTTCAAAAACATTTTAATTTCATAGTGGTGTATGACTGAAGTATTTTAAGCTTCTGTTACTACTGTCCTAGTTTTATGCAATTTATACATGTTTTGTTTTTTACTTGTTTTGTTTTAAGTAGCTGAAAACATTTTAGTTGGAGTGTTGGACTAAATTAGTTTATATATTAGCCCAATTGAAGATCTTAAAAAAAAATCATGTTTTTATTCATACCATATGTTTTGTGCAATAAAATCTACTGATGCAGAAAATGTTTGAGGTACATACATACATTCATAGTTGTTTAGAGTTTGTGTTCTTTATACACAATATTTAACAAGTGTAATGTACTCTTATCTGTTTTTCTTTTGGCTTGTTATATTAAGTACTCCAAAATTAAACAAAGAAAAGAAGGTTAACACAATACCTGTTTATGAAAATAAGAAGTTAAGAAAAACTTGAAGTTGAAAGAATCGTAATAAAACACAATTTAAAAGAAAGTAGATGTATTTTGAGCAAACATTATTTGTCAGTTATTGCAACTACATGAAAAAGAGCATTTGGTTGAAGCATCATCATTAACATGTTTTCTTTTAACCAATGGTTTAACAGTTTTTTAAATAATAGTATTAATAGGTGTATTGGTTTTCTTTTTCATAAATTGTGTTATTGGTAATACATTCATATAAATGAGGTCTTGTAGATTGGTAATTTAGACTTGTGGAATTTGAGCTCATAAAATTGTTATTCACATGTTACTTAAAACAAACTTGACTTCTACAAAGTTTGTCAAACTTCTATGCATACATATTTCTGTTTTACTTTACTCCATAAGAATCTATTAATCAACTGGTTGTGCTGGTATCAGTGACTCTAGTCCTTGAAATTAGTGACAGAAAATAGCACACCCACTACATCTTATGAAAAATGTCAAGTACAATGGCAAGAAAAATGCTGGCATGATAAAAAAAACTCATAAAATTTGTTCCTTTAAACTATTAATTTTTCTGATGAATAACACTAGAGATTATGATTTAATACAAAAATAAAACTTCTATAACTATTGTATTTAATAATACAATCACCTCACTTTGCCTCATTCGAGATGCCAGTTACAAATGAATTCATTAGATTGCTGTAACAAACCAAGGTAAACACCAAGGAAGTGAGCTATAGTTTTGAAAGTGTAACCTATCTATCCAGGTATTTTTGAGTGATCCTGTAAAGTGTTATCCTCTTTTACAGACAACTATTTACTTTAGCTTAACAACCCATCTTTAACAGAAATGAGAATATTGTACAAACTAATAAACATTCACTCAAACTTTTTTGCTGCATCTCTTTAGGTTATCTAGCTTAGTCAATAATGTCAACTTTAAAGACAATACAATTGCTCTTCATTAGTTCATACATCAGTAATTGAAACAGTACAGTCATAGATTACAGGAAAAATTCAATGTTTGAGAACAAAAGTTGTTATGGCCATTTCACTGCAATTTGTTAGCATTAAACAATACAAGTTCATTTTGATTTTGATTTGCCATGGAAGTTGAATATCTTATATGGAGAACGAGAGAAAACTGATCTAAGTTTTTGTTTTTTTTCCTTGGTGAAGACACTTGCTTTGTACCCCACCTGTGTACTCCAGTGTATCTTTAAGTGGAAGAATGTTTTAAGCATAGACCACGACATTTGCCATTGTGTTTTCCTGATTAATGCACTTACAATGGCATTTTTATTTACATGTCCTTGATGTCTTAATTTTTAGGACTGGTATGGAATTTAATTAGTATGCTGTATGAGGACATATTATATCGAATATTAACATGAAACATTGACATACATTGGATATAGGCTTTTGGGTGTGAAACTGATATTTTCATTTACATTTCAGACACCATGCAAATGTTATTTAATAAAATTTTATAGGACCATCATTATAAGTTTAAAGAGGAACAAAGTATAAATTAAATACGATTGGTTTGTAGGCAAGTTACAGGACTGCTATTAAAGCAGAAGGAATGCTGGATGACATCATCCATCATCTGAGCTCTGAGAATGTGGATCTCCAGATGCACTGTGCTGCAGCAATTTACAAGGTCAGTATAATTGTGTTTAATTATGTAAGCATATTTTAGAAGAAAAACATTATAGATGTGCCAAGAAAAAGTAGTCTTAAATTAAACCATTCTTGATCACCATGTTTTTTGAGATCTTTCTTTTTCTTTTAGTTAAAATTATAAAAAACTCTGAATATTCTTACCCAGAATTAAAAGTATAGGACTATCACCATAATGGTATTATTGCAGAAATATTACTTTTATCATTTGTAACCATATTATCTGATTACTAATGAGTATAAAGTTAAAAATAATTTTTGAATTTTAAGTTATCTTATAAGGGTTTATGTATGCATTTATTTTCTTTAGCTGCTACTTAGTGAAAGTAGTTATAACATACACTCAAACAATTTTTTAATGTTTGAAAAATATCATTTCAGTATATTTAATTCTTTGCTTAATCAGTAACTTTTTTCTGTAGATTAGATACTAAGCTGGTAAACTCTTTTACTGTTTCTTTCCACATAAGTTTTAAAAATGCACTTTTTTATCTGATTAACCAATGTACATTTTGAAACCTGTATATATACATTTTTGAGGATCTATAGGTTATGCAAGTGCAATATGCAAACTGTAAAATGGACAAAAGTATTTTTATTTTTCATATGAACATTACCTTGCATGCTGTCTTGTCAGAGTTTGAGTCAGACTGATGTCACCAATTAAGAAACATATCTTGAGTACAAATACTTTTTCGATATATAGATAAGATTTTTTTTTGTCTACAACAAACTTGTACATTTCTATAAAAGCTTACAATATTTCATGTAGATACACTTGGTAAATTCAGAATTATAGTCATCAGTCCTTCCTCAATATGAAGTCAGACCAATGGACTGACCCTGTGTTCATTCAGTTAAAGCCACAGGCACTAGGCTGGGAGAAATACTGTTCAATTGAAGCATTATGGGATATGTTTTGAAATGGTACCTTGCAGTTTGAGCATTTAGGGAGTTAGTGTCTGTTACATGGGGGTTATTGAATAAGTTCTTAATTATTTAATCACTTCAGCAGACTTGTGTCTGTGACTTTAAAAATTGTATTTGACCATCAGAAAGGTGCAGAATTATATTTTTTCCTTAAAACTTATTGTTAGGGTAATAAAACAAATTTCAATATATAAATTAATTTTTGTACACAAAAAATTAACACAAAATATAAATAGAATTATTCTGTGTAGAAACATTAATGAGATGCGGAGAAATATAATCAGTAAGGAAAAGTTACTTCAGTAGAAATTTATTTTTGACATTTATGTACATTTTTAATAGAACTGGAAAACTGGAGCACATATTAAGGTCTACATCCAACATCTTTTGTATTACTTGGTTGTCATTAACTATTTTTTGTAACAAAAAATACAGTAACATTTTTAAAGTTTGTGCAAATTTTTATGATACTTGTAAAGTCTTCTTACTATTATATCAGACCTGATGATTCCTAGTAATGGGCAAAAGGCCTCATTATTATACAATATTCTTTGTTTTCCCTGTTAAGTTATTAGAATTACTATCAACTCAGTCATTTGGTGATCAGTCAGGTAAGCTGAATTACTAATGAGTTGTCATTCAGCTAATAATACATATACTGATCTCACATACATTTTGTCCAAATTGTCACTTTGAAGTGAATCACAGATTCCAAAGTGCTCCAAGGTGTGTCTGAATCATGCTTGGTCATCATAAAAGTCCTTTGGTTTTTTACTAAGGTGATAAACCATCGGATGAATGATGGTTGGCTAATTACAACATTCTGTTGAGAATTGGCAGTGAGTACCTTAAAATATCACTATAAGAATGTGGAACTTTTTCCAAATTAATGCTATTACATTCTGGTTTGCCCAATTTATAGGGTACCTGCTTTGTAGCCAGTATTAGTGTCACTTAACAGATAGTTTAAAATAGACTGCAAAAGACTAGCCTGTTGCCCAATGATATGAATTTTGCTTAAATGATGGCACAAAACAGTATGCCTGCAGTAGTGCTAAGAACACATCCTGTGGACCAGTGACATAAAGGAGTGTTATTTTTTTCAGATAAGTAAAACTTTACTGAACAGCTACATAATGGGCATATACTCATAGAAAAGTTTCTGAAACCATTTTGATTCCCTCATCTTTGTACAGAAATGTGTTTCATGTTGTAGATTGGGAGTATGGTATATGCAGATTTAAACCTTGGGGGACTAATGCCTAACAGAATGGTACATTTGTGGTATATGAATACATCATGTGTTTCTATTTTCTTGTAGTATTATAATATTTATTTTGAATTCATTTTTTTAATGTACATTTTACATAACACATTGATGGAGAAAGTTGTTAAGCTGATCTTGTTTCAAGTTACTTTTGTTCCTTAATTTTTCTTAAAATAGATAATACCTGTTAATGCCAAGGGAGAACATTGCTTAATACTACATGTTGAGTAAGGATGTTAACAGCAGTGTCTTACAATGGTTGTTCAGGTGATAGCTGGAGGTTCTAGCTGTACCTATTGTGAATTAAGAAACATTAGTGGGTCATCCTGGTCTGGAACATTATTTGAATAATGTAGTCTGCAACTTCATCTAGTTAGACTGTCATGCTTTATGGTTTCATTTTCAACGGTTGAAGTAAAGAAGGTTTGGTGAAAGTGACCATCCAGGGTAACTATAACAGCAAGTACGCACACGGTGTTTATATTACATTGACATGATAAAGATTGAAAATTTTGTTTTACACTCTGGGTTCAGTCTTTTTGTTTCACATATTATTGATCCAGTCAGTACAAGATTTAGTACCACACTGTAATGGATATTTTGTTTGCATCTCCAGTTATCAAATGGACCTATCTGGTGTAGTTTTAGCATTAATTCAGTTTTACCTGAATGTACCACACCATTAATGCCACCCATTTCAGAGACTGTATCTTTTGACTTTTTTGCTGTTATATACTGTTTTACTCAGTCCTGATTTCAGTTTAATAGTTGATAACACCTATCCTACTGAGCTGAAACTGGTGACACTTTTTTTCCATGAAAAAAGAGGTTTGACCAAACAAAGTGGCCTGGCCATGCTCATCAGACTTCAGTCTTGTGGAGCATGTATGGGTGCTGTTTGGAAACATGTTGCATCCTGTGATTTTAAACAATTAAAATACCATGGAAACAGCTCTTTTCAAATGGGTGACTAAGGATACCTTAGAGCCTTATCAACACTCATTATAAGTATGCAACATTGGTGTTAGACTGCCCTTGCTATTATTCAGGTTCATATTCCATATTAAATTGAAATATCATGAATAGGAAAGTCCATAAATCACCCCTAACAAATATTCAGTTATATTTCAAAATGATGATGGACCATCAGATATCTCGTAGCCTAAAAATTAAATGAGTGGGGTGTTTGACATTATTTTATTGTGATGATTTTGAAATACCATAGCAGAAATATTAAGTATTCTAGCTACTTTTAATTGCTTTATGCCATGTTTGTAGTTATACTGATATTAAGCAATGCTCATCAATACATCAGCACTTATCAAGCATGCTAGTTGCATATAGAATAATTATAATATTACTTTGGTGTTAGAAATCTTTTGTTTTAGAGATTAAAAAGCTATCTTGATGGTTATAAAATTTTGAGAATCAGTTTTAACACTAGTGCTAGTTTTAATCTGTAACATTCTAGTGTGCTGAAGATTCCAGTGTTCGAGAACTTGTTGGTCGACTGGAAGGTTTGAAGCCTCTTGTCAAACTAATCTCAAACACAGAGCTCCGAGATAAGAGAGAGTTAATGTCAGCAGTAACAGGAGCTATCTGGAAATGTGCTGAAAAGTCCTGGAAACATCAATGAGTTAAAAACTCTTGGTGGTGTGGAGCTTTTGGTGGACTTGTTACACAACCAACCAGAAGAGGTAATAAAATTTTATTTTCATGATGGCTCTTTTATAGCTTCAAGCTTTGTTTAATGACAGATAGATGGACATCGGTAGGGGTTTACAGCAAATTGCCTTTTTCACCTGTTTTAGTTATAAATACCTAAATAGTAAAATTCCTCAGGGGCTGCACATCTACTGCACATATAGAAGATAGTTTTATGTAACATGTGGCAGTGCAGGCCCTCTGATTAGAGAATTCCTGTGAATATATCTGATAATGTAAAGCAGTGTTAAAAATTAGGCCATATTCCAAAATTAAAAACTATCACAGATTTGCTGATTTTACTTTCATCGTCAAGCACCGTGATATCATAGTAGTTATCTTTTCAGTCATTTATGTTATTATTGGCCAGCTTTTCCTGTAGAACAGTTTTTACATCTAACCTAAATTGCTTGGTTTTTCACATATTTATATAGTTGAAAACCTTAAAATAATTCTTGTAGATTAAAATTATAAAAGTTTTAGTTTGTTTTAATTATTTTTTACCAGGCAACACTCTGTAACATCCATTCCAAACTGCTATACAGACAGGGGAGATGGTAAAAAAGTGCAGTTCATGTTCATTTCGTAATATCTTAGTGTTTATTTTGATTATTCAGAATGGTTAGAAGCAAAGGTCAGGATGAGAGGATAGCTAGCTATAGAGAAAGTAGGAATTCCTGAAGCACATTTTAACAGAAGATCTCTCCCTTAATCAGAGGCAAGATAGTGTTTATGGATGGCAGGATAAGGAACAAGAAATTATGATAATTGTTTCTTGGAAGTATTGCATATACCATCAGAAAGTTCAAAATCTACTGTATCCAAACATGCAACCTATATGAAGGTAATTTATTTCAACTGGGTATTATGACCAGTCAAAGAGACAGGGTTTCAGAGTGACCACACCACCTTACCAGCAATTGTCACACACATACACTAATTGATTATCTCTTCTTTTTTATTCTCAAATAAAATTATGCAATTTTTCTCCATTGTCTGTTTGAGGCTGAAGACCTTGTTCCTGATCTTTTGATCTGGCAGAAGGCTACTATCACTATTATCCTTGTTAGCATGACACTTACTTTTGATCGCTTCCACAGCATCTTTTGGCTTAATAGGTGGACTTGCCTCAAGAAGTGCTGTCCAAATGTTCATCATCATGATCACACTCACAGCAGCTGCACAGATTACACATTGAACATCTTGGAACCTTGCATATGCAGGTAATTGAGGGAATAATGGTGATTGATGATGACATGCCAATGAGTAACAAGATTCCAGCCATGGTCAAGAGGGCTTGGAGCTTTCTGCTGGAGATCTTTGAACTCTGATCTGAAAAACAGTTGCAATGATAGATGAAAAAGAAGAAAGCTCACGTAGTGGACCCATCAGTTGTTACACAAGAATTATTGCCATTAACTATGTGGTTTCTACTGATGATGTGGTGAGTCATAATTTGATAAATTTGTGTCTGTTTTGGAAACTATAAAAGACAGTCGTCATATCTTATGCTACATCCTTTAAAAGTCACCAAAATCTGATAAACCCAAATATTTTACATCTGATCTCTGCTACCTAGGCTCCTCTTGTTGAGGGAGAGATTCTGTGTTAAATGCCAGTTATTTTAGCACTGTTAATGGAAGACAATCAGTTTAAACCTCTTATGAAATTTATTTACATGATCAGCAAGATTATATTTTTTAATACATAGAAATCATTGAAATGTTTTCCTAGCATAGTTAAGCTTAAGCATGAAAAAATACTAAGCTAAATATTATAACTTTTTGTATTTTAGAAAAAGTTATCTTTTTCTCTATTACATTTTTTTTTAGAAAAGAAATAAAAATCTAATCCTATAGCAGTTATCACTGTAAGAAATTCTACTTATCAAGATGTGGTGCTTGTTTGTTAATCATGACATAACTGAGTTAAGAAATATATTATTGAATTGCCATCTCTTGTGATAAATTTGTGATTGATTTTGATTTAGAGAGGAATTGAAACCTTTACAGTTTTTTGCTAATCATCTGAAATGGTTGGAATGTTTTATAATTCTTAACTTCATTTAATGCAAACTGGAGTTTATTATGAGACATTTTTATAAACGTAAATAAAACCACAACCTATATCTTCTGAATGCAACTTTATCAGCTCAATATTTTGCTATTGCAGCTTCGTCAGGAGCTATTGATATTTTACAAGTTCTCTAATCCAGTTAAACCTAAATTGGAACACTGCCATTCGTAAATCAAACATTGATACACGTGTTTATAAAGTTCATCTTATATTAAAATAATATCAACATTCTTGAATTTATATTGTTAAGGCAAATCAAACCAACAATGTTAAATAAATAAAATGTGTAAACCAATAAGTAAACTATTAGCATCATTGTATTTAGAATAGAATACATTGTGTATCTAAAACATTTATTCATATTTGTATTGGTATTATATCAATATGTACATAACACAATGTCTGAATATATATTTCAATCCTTATAATTGTGTATAGAGACTTTGTCAAAGTTCAACATATTAAAATCTTTAAAATGTCATTAACATCTCTACACTAAAGGCCATCCTTTGTATTTGTTCAACTTAGCTTTATTTTTCTTGATTAAAATGGATTCTTTAATTTTTTGTCCAGAAAATTATGGCATTTAGGTATGATCTTGACATCCGATTTGCCAGTGGTAGGCGATGTTCTTTTCCATAATGTTCTGCAATAGCATTGTTAGTATTGAGGTTTTGAATGTCACGCACATATTCAGATATTCGATCATGTATGTAAGAAAAACTCTGTTTTAATCTTGAAGAACTGTTATTTAAATGTAAAACTTATTTCAAAATATCAACAAGATGAAGTTTGATTCTTGAACGTGCCTAAAGTTGAGAAAATAGTGAAACAAATGCTGCTTGCAGCATGCCAAAGAGTTATGGGTCAGATATCCAAATGTTATCTTTTTGTGCCTAAGAACAACCCTCTCTTTAGCATTAAATACATCCTCCTCCATCTTTTTTCATATTTTATACATTTTTATGACTTAATATATTTGATATATAGGTACTAATAAAAGTGGTAGGAGCTTTAAGCTGCTGTGCTGAAGAAGCTACTTGTCGTGTTACTATCAGAAAAGCTGGAGGTATAGGTCCTCTTGTCACACTGCTCACAAGAACCAACCAGAGTCTCCTAGTAAATGTAACTAAAGCTGTAGGTGCTTGTGCTGTAGATCATGAAGGAATGAGGTTAGAAATTTTTTTATAAAAAAATCAGTATTTTAGTTTATAAGTTGAGAGTTATAGTCATGTTTTACTTTACAGTTGCAGTATGAGCATGGATGGTGTAAAATTTTAATTGAACATTTTTTTTGCATTGTGTCATAGGGTTTGTAGCTTGACATTTGTTTGTATGTGTACATTGTTCCACAGAATCTATCCATATACTAACCTTTCCCTGTATGCTGGCACTCAAAAACCTCCAAGTATTCTAATGGTTATATGTATATCACTTTATAAAGTTCATATGACTTCAAAATATTTTCATTGGGATAGATTTTTATCCTACTGAAGATATATTGTTGTCATATGTTTTGTGTTAAATCCTGAGGCTTCTCTGACATTTCATTGGTTTACTTTTGCAGTTGTATATTAACATTTAACCATTATAAACCTGAAACTTTGAAAAAAAATCAATTATACATCATTTTCCACAAGAGGTTTCTTTCTGTACCATTCCAGAAAAATCAAAGCATAGTATATCAGAGAAACCCAAAATTTTATCTAAATTAAGTTTGAATACTGAATATCTGTGAATTTTGTGTTGCATGTACATATTTAAATATGAATAAATTATGGAACTGAAAGCAGTAGGTCTAAAAATGTTGCACAAGTGATTTTTAATCCTGCTAAAAGATAAATAAAAAGTATGTCACAAAATAAGGGATTCCACTGTGAAACCATAAACAACCTGGTTTGAAACCATGTAGCAAAACTATAACAAGGAATTAAACCCTGCAGTGAAAAGGTTTCAAGAACTTTGCAATATATGGAAAACTTGTAAGAATATCAATATTTATTAGGAATATAAAAAAATTTCTAGTTTGTTTTAATGCAAAGCTACACAATGGGCTATCTCTCCACCACACACACACACACACACACACACACACACACACACACACACATATATATATATAATGAAAGATACAATGCAAAAATTGTGATGTGTTACTGGCAGGGTTTTATGTATATGAGTGGGCTAAGGATTCTTTTACTGTAGGTGTCTGTGACTTGTTGCTGATAAAAAAAATTTGAACAATAAACAATAATATATTCAAAACAAGATAAATGTATGTACAAAAATTCCTTACACTATGGATATCACAGTTGTATCTCAAACTCTTAATAATTCTATCTTTTCTTCATGTCAAAAGTCCACTTAGGTTGATTCAATTACTTTAAAATGCAATTGACAAGACGAACTATTTTTCTCTACTCTTATCACAATAGTATCAGTGAATAATTCACTTATGCTACCCCAGGGGTTACCACAGTTGTATCCTGAACTTCAAATAATTGTCTCCTTTTCGTCAAAGTCCACACAGATGGGTTCAATTATTTTAGAACACCCTTTGACAAGACAAATTATTCTCTTTATCCCCATTAAACTGTGAAACTCACTATAAAATATCGCCCATTATGGATGATCACTCATACACCAGCTAATTTCACATTTTCTTTTGCTAACTAATTTTCTGACTGAACTGCACTTGACTTGACTTGACTTCACTTTGATTCTTTAGTTCTTAACTTGCACTCGCTTGGTCACCTATATTTATACGTTGATCATCGAGGCCTCGAAATTTCTGTAAAGTACACAAACCGCACTGATTTAACAATTATCAGTTAAGATAATGAGAAAAATACTGAAGATTTGTGTAACATGACGTCAACAATATTAGTAAAGCCTCGGCAACAGTGTATTGCAAACACAACTTATGACTCTTACCAAGTTATGTAACCAAACCTGTCACAACTAGCACCTTTGAAATGATTAATTTTTAACTCTCTTTTGTATGAAAGACTAAATAATCACTAAACATTAGCTCACAAAATAAATTAAATAATAATGCCTACACTAAACAGTCTTGTATATCCAACAGTTACACTAGAAACAGTGTACTTGAAGTACCTGCACCAAGATATCTTCTGCAGACATTTTTGTTAAGAAAAATATAAGAAGATTTTTATTCCTTTATAGGAACCATAAAAAGATAATGTGCAATAGAAAGTTACAGTGAATAATCAGATTTTATAAAAGGTATAACAACACTGGGGTTTTATGCTTAAAACAGAGATTGGAAGAATTTAATTTTTTTTTTATAGTTCTCTGTTAAGTGAAATATTTACTTTCCTGAGAAACAAAATTTCAATAACTGTTATGTTTGTTTTTATATTGTTGAAAAATGTACAAAAACATCAAAACTTATCAAGTTAACTGCATGAAGTTAATTTAATTATCAATAACTTTTATTCTGATCTATTTTGTGAATAACTTGTGAATAAGCAAATGCATAAAGTTAATTTTTATTTCTGATCTATAACTTCCATTCTATTAGATGTTTTTGTTTTGTTTGAAAGTCTTTCACATAACAAGAATGCTGTTAATTATAACATATTTTTCTCCAGTATTATTGACAGTTTAGATGGTGTTCGGCTGCTGTGGTCACAGCTGAAAAGTAGTAGTCCTGAAGTTCAAGCCAGTGCTGCTTGGGGACTTTGTCCTTGTATACAGAATACTAAGGTAAAATATTACTAATATTCTAATTTTAAAATTATTGCTAATGATAAATTGATATAATAGAGAAAAAAAAATTGGTTCTGCAAACAAAAAAGGCAGTGACCCCCAGTAATTGATGAGAAGCAAAATACCCCAAGGGATGTGTTAGCTGTCATCACACAATCTTGGAGATTCCTAGTGTAGCTTACTCATGGTTAGTCATTGTAAGTCATCTTAATTTTATCCTATGTCTTATGAAATACTTTCAGCTAGAAATGAACTTATACTGCACTTTCAAAAATAAAGTTAAAAATAAAATATTTTTTGGTCTCCAAATGATTTAACTAATCACTTGTGACCATTGTGACTTCAACAGAGCCTTGATGAAACTGCAATGGTGAAAATAAAACTAAACTTAAAAAAAACATTTTAATCATTTGGAGAGTGAAGGTAGTTCCAATACAGTACTTCCCTCCGCTCACAAGATAAGCTATTTTCGTTCATTGCTGCCCTTTATATGCAAACTTTTTCTTATGCATGCCACAAGCCTTCTGCTCCCCTATTGGAATCAAGTGATTCCAACATATCTCTCATGTAAATCATCATGCATCACTTCTCTGCGAGTAGGAGCATAGTATACTCACATGACACGTGACTCTTTCTATGCACCTCTACCAATCTATCACTTCTCATTTGGCAGTGCTTGTGTTCAGATGTGTTTCTTTTTTTGACTTGATGTACAGAATTTGAGATACAGCTTCTTCTCGAACTGGTTATACCCAGTTTTCTTTTGAATTACGTTAATTCTAACTCATTATAGTTGCCTTTTTTTGTATACATTTGCCTTTTTGTCTTTCCTGCCCCAAAAAGATTTATCTGACAGAGTGATCCCTTGATTATCTCGTTTTCTAGTGGCTCTGCAACCGCTTTGGTCCCCGGCGCCTCATCCTCAGGTTTTGGCTATTGATGCCTTCAGCCAAGATGGTCCCACAAATTCCTATATGTTTATCCTCCTATCTAATTGCTTCATTGGAAAGTTTTCCTAATCCATACCACTCTGTGCCAGGTCCTTCTGATAGCTCCCTATTGGCCTGCTCAACCATCGTTTCCTCATTTGAACAAACTCCAGTTATTGCCTCCTGTATCCCTTCACTTATTCCCACCCTCCTTCTTCAACCCCAGTCACCGGCTCTACATCCTGCAGTTCTTGTCCTCCTTCTTCTCTTTGTTCAGTCCTTGATAAGGAGATTGGGTTTCTCCCATCGTGTAACTTTCCATTTGGCTCAGTCCATATGTCCTCCTTCCATCAACGGAAGTAGAAAGTCTTTCACACACATGGTCACATGCTCTGAGAATTCCAGCTGCTCAACCTTCTGTGGCTTGTGCGTTCGAGTATCTTATGTAGCTTTTCAACTGGGGGGTATTCATTCTTCTTTTGGGTTATTGGGCAGCCATGTCCCATACCTTTTGTTTTTCTCGTTACCATAGAGTCTTTGATTCACCTGTCCTAACCATGTTAATCCGTTCTTTCTGGAATCGTCGTCCTCCCTGACGACCTACTCTTCCAGACTGGAATGTTAATGTGGTCCTCCATTCCCTTATTTTACCTCTGTTCGAATCTCTTTCATCGTGTTCTATGTTTCACCTTTCCTTTAAGGTGTATTTCCTTCTACTCTTGGCCTATGGTTGTCGACAGTCTGACTTGCTGGCCACCGACGTTACATGTACACTTTACCACCATACCTATGTTCTCCTATATCTACATCATTCCTTCCTCTTGAAAACCTATTTTGCCTATTTTCCTTCCCTCTGTATCTCACCTCTACCCTTGTCCCAATCCGGATAGACTTCTATGTCTGGTGCGTGTCCTTTGTTGCTATATTACTCACATGGCTTCCTTCCATGGTTTCCATTCCTGACTCTTCATCCTGCGGCAGTTTTCTTCATCTAGTGATTTATCCCCTTCTACCCTCACCAATTGGGTTCGTTGTTGGATCCAGTTGGTTTATTCCTCACTTTCCCTTTCCCACAGGAATTTGTTCAGAGTTACTTCTTATCAAATTCGACACCTCACCTTTTCCCTTGCTTCTTGTCTTTGTCAGCCTTTGGAGGAAATCCTGTAATCTCTCCCATTATTTACATACATCATATCCTGGTTTTGCCTTCCACTTGTGGCTGTTCTTCAAGTTTTAGTGCAACTCTAAGACTGGGTAAGTCTATATCAATGCTTTCTTATATTTCAGGGGTTTGTCCTTCATACCTTCATTACATTAATCCCGCTCTGTGGCGAGTGGTGCCTGGCCAGGTATTCTACAATTTCAAATCTGCACTGTACAGCCATGTTGACTAGCACTTTCCATTCCATGGCTTCACAATGCTCACCATTGAGATTGGGTGTTTCACAAGGTCACTTGAAGGTGAATAACCTTGCAGTGTTTGCTTCATAAACTTGCCCATTTTGAACCGTAGCACTCATGTACTTCAGGGGTAAAGCATAAGGGAATAGCTGCCCATCCCTGTCTTGATTAAATAAATTGGGATGGTCTACTTTTCAAAATAGGGTTTCATGATCACCCATTGCACTGTCTCGGGTGATAACGTTCCTCCAGACTCTCCTTGGAATTTTCATCCTCCTCTCTTCAAGTGGTGTATGGAAGTCCTTATCACTTACTAGTTCCAAGCTGCTGGGGTGGTCGACCATGGAGGAACCCTGCTGAATGTGTTTGGTCAATTTGACCTACCATGTGACCTCTTTATACTCATTTAAAGTTTTATAGATTTAATACTTCTAACTTTCAATATATTGTGTATATCTTCACAAAATTGGGCAGTCTTGCTGTTAATATTATAAGTCTTTCGCATACAAAAAAAACATATTTTTTAGAGAAGTATTTTCAATAAAATAAAATAAAGATTGGTCCAAGAATATAGTGAGTATTTGTTTTGAATAGACCATGTGCAAAGTAATTTCAACATAAATTGTTCAGTAACACCATTACAAACTGCAGCACATAGGGAACACTTAAAGAGGAAATAAGAGGGGTAGCAGAGTACAGCACAAAGAAATTGTATTTCAATTTGAGTTTTTTATCAAAGTGGATCTTTGTTGTAAAAACTGTCTTATATTACTTTATGTTTACAAATGTGAAATCCTTTTTCTTCCTCAAATCCTTTTGTTTCATTTTTATAGGATGCTGGAGAAATGGTTCGAAGTTTCGTTGGAGGATTAGAGCTTATTGTTAGCCTCTTAAAATCTCAACACAAAGAAGTATTGTCAGGTGTATGTGCTGCCATCTCCTGTATTGCTCAGGATGAGGAGAATCTAGCTGTTATTACTGACCATGGAGTAGTGCCAGTGCTGGCTCAGCTAGCCTATACAGTTAGCTGTTTTTTGTATTATTATTTTATAACTTTACTTAAATTCAGAATAAGTTCTTATTCCTTGTTTTTTGTAATAAAGTAAGTTACTCTCAAAACTGTATGCATATCTTTATATATTCATAGCATAGTATATGAAGGTAATACAATTTTGTTCTCATTAGAACTTTGTTTTATTGTTTACGTCACTCTGAAATATACTTATTGTATTCTTATCATTGACATTGTGTCCTTTATAAAAATTATTAGTTAGTTTGTGTATTAATACCTTACTTTTTTGTTTGTATGCTAGTTAAATTACTTTAAATAGAACATAACTCACAGCAACATTATTATAGAATCAGTAACAACATTACTCTTCACGTATTAAAATTCAACAAACAGAAATTGCACTTAATTTTTTTCAACTGTATGGATTATTAAATTTTGCTTTTTTTTTGGTTTTTACTAACAAAGATTTAAGCAGCATTCCACATCTTGAACAGTTGATAAATGGAAACAAGATGACTGCATTAATTCTGAACTGATTAAGAAAAAATTGCGAAGTTTAAAAAACGATAAGGCTAATGGGCCAGATAATATTTCCTGAAAGGTTTTGAAGGAAGTTAAAGATTGGATGTGTGAGACACTTACTACTATTTTTTGTCAGTCCTTGAATAGTGGGTAGGCACCAGAGAATTAGCTAATGTAACTCCTCTTTTCAAAGAAAGTGATAAAAATTGTCCCGGTAGTTATAGACCCATTAGTCTTACATCAGTTGTGGGAAAAGTTTTGCAAAGTCTATTAAAAGTAACTTAACAAAAATTTAGAATTTATTGGATAATCAACATGGTTTCACTAAAGGAAAATCTTGACTTACAAATATTTTGACATTCTTTGAGAAGGTTACTGCTTATGTAGATGAGGGTAGCGGTGTAGATTTGGTTTATCTTGGTTTTCAGAAAGCATTTGGCAATGTGCCACATAAAAGGCTTGTAAAAAAAAAATTATCTCTATAGATGTGGGGGATAAGTTAACAAATTGGATAGAAGAGTGGCTAAATGGAAGAAAGCAGAGGGTTGTTACAAATTTAGTTCAGTCAAACTATATTAATGTCACAAGTGGGTTACCTTAGGCCTCAGTCTTAGGGCCTTTGCTCTTTTTTTATTATATCAATGACATAGATGAAGGAATAATCAATAAATTAGTTAAATTTGCAGATGATATTAAGGTCTTGGGTATTGCTAGCTGTGAAGAAGATGCTGC